TTGTTGAAATCCTTTCAAATTTAGATATAGCTCTCACATATATTTTCATCGGATTTTTGGTAAATGGTGCACCAAACTCCCCACGTTTTTTTCCTATTTGCACGAAATTTTGCACACAATACCAAATTGAGTCAAGAATAAGATGTGTTAAGTATTGGTTGATTGGTTCTATTGATACGACATTCAGCATATCGCATTGAATTGGGTCTAGAATGACGTGTGTTAAGTTTCCTTAAAATCGGTTCAGATTTTAGATATAGCTTCCATATATATTTTCATTCGATTTTATGTAAATGGTGCACTAAACATCCCATAATCTGTGTTATTCAAACGAGATTTTTGGGGAGGATATCAAAATGAGCAGATCGATGGTTCCCATCTTCGGATTTGATCTATGTTTGTTAAAAATATTACGATATGTATTGTTTGGATAAAATCGGACACACCACTCGATTGTTATAGGATTTACAATACACATAATAACACTACATAACAATTTACAATTTTTTAAAATATTGACACTTTTTGGGAGATGTACCAGAAGAAATGAACTGACGCCTCTTCGAACAAGTCGAATTCAAACTGTCCGAAATGTATTTGGTCCAAAAACACTTGGGGCCCAAAACTAATATTTCGATGAAACACTTTTTTTAATTGGGTATAACCTCACAACCCATAAGGCTTAGGGTATAAAAATACACTCCAATGACAAAACGTTCTGATTTCCCAAAAAAATATTTACTTGGCGTCTGTAGAAAACAATTTTTTGGGCAGAAGAAGCTCCTTTCGTGTCAGCGGGTCGTCATGTTAGCGTGCTTGCCAGTGTGTCGCACTGTTTCAACAGAGGCGTTGCGGGTGCTGCTTGGCGCCGCGCCGCTTGATCTTGAAGTGAGATGTAGGGCTATTATGTATAAGCATGGTTCTCTCAATGCTTTTCTGCATAAGAGAGGCCTAGCCCAGACGGATTTATGCCGGTGCGGGGTGACTGAGGACTGGAAGCATATACTGACGGAATGCTGTTACTATGATGACATTAGAGATTTAGCAAGTATGGGTATATCGAATGGAGGTACGGGGTGGGATTTCAGTAGGGCTCTTGAAGACGATCGGACCTTTAGTGGTTTAAGTAGTTTTGCTCGTGAAGCATTTAGGAGAAGGACTGTACTTAGTGGAGGTGGTCCTCGTGCATAGCCCCCTTGCAGTTGGTCGGTTGCACCGGGTGGTGTTGGGTAGGTGCACCGGGTGCTGGTGCTGGTCTTCGTGTGGTTTTCGGCGGTTGTAGGTGGTGTACGTGCTGCCTGCGTTTGTCTGTGCATCGTGGGTGGTTCGTGGTTTCCACTTCTTTGGCTTCACTCGTCCTGTGGATGTAGTGTAGGCTGTCCGTGAGGGCAGTTTTGTTCAGTGTTTGTGTTGTGATGTCCGATGCCGCGGTCCTTTGGGCCCTTTGTGCTGTCCGTGAGGACAGCATGTTAATTGTATGTTATGTGTGTATTTGTCACTGCTTGTGGCCAGGTTTTTACCTGCCACTTGCGGTTATCACCGTTGCTTATTGTTGTTTTGGCATACCAGCCCGGACGTGCGTCAAACTGTGAGAGGCTTCGGTCTCGAGCCTGAGCGGAGGTTTTCCGTACCGCGGGTGTCAGGTGCCCCTGGATCTGTCGATCCAGCCTGACAGTTGATGTGGCCCCCTGGGGAGCTTCGCGGGGGTTATGGTTTCGCCCCTCCCCAAGGGGGAGAGTGTGCCTTCTGCATGCTCTCCAATTGCTACAGTACTTCGGTGCTGGTGCGCTGATGGGCGCTTTTCCGCCTGTAGATCAGCCACTGTGAGGTAGGCCTTTTGGCAGGTACTCACATAAAACTCTTCAAGATACTTGCTACGAAATATTCTTTAGTGTTTGGATTTTTATAAAATGAATACGGAATATAAACATTTTTTCTACTCTCAAAAAAAATTACATTTGTTCTTCTCTTCTATTTTATCGTTCATATCAATTCACGCACAGAAATAATATATAATCAATATTTCATAATGTCATTCATAGCTTATTTTTTCCATATTGTACTTTGTACCTCTCTTAAACTACAAGTAACAATTCTTATATTCTTGAAAAAGTCGCTATTTTTTCCAAATATGTAAACTTTTCATTAATATCAAAACTAATTTCCTACTTCGCTCTACTTTACTTCTATTTGCGCTCATTTTTCGTCTCCCTTTTGGCAAAAACAAATGTATTGTCAACAAAAAACACACCACAACCATTCGTTGTTAGTTTCGCATTCCATTATTACAGACACTGCTACCATCGACTTCATTGATGCTGTACAATTCGCATATGCATTTTCCAAATTATTTTCATATAAATGTCAAATACACTATAGCAAACAAGTGTTGATACGAACTACCTCTATATGCGCTCATTTTTCCTCTCTCTCTTTTTGCAAAATCAAATGTATTGTCAACAAAAAACGCACCACAACCATTCGTTGTTAGTTTCGCATTCCATTATTACAGACACCTCTTCGTTGATGCTGTACAATTCGCATATGCATTTTCCATTTTTTTTCATATAAATGTCAAATAAAATATAGCAAACAAGTGTTGATACGAGCCACAAGTTCAATCGAATGTTGACATTTGTATATGAAATTTCTATGAGAAAACTGCTATTTTTTCCTAAATATGTAAAATGTTCATTAATATCAAAACTATTTTCCTACTTCGCTCGACTTTACCTCTATATGCGCTCATTTTTCCTCTCTCTTTTCGCAACATCAAATGTATTGTCAACAAAAAACACACCACAACCATTCGTTGTTAGGCTGTGTTTTTTAGGTATCGCTTTCCGCCTCTACTCTCACTTGGTTGTTGTTAGTTTGGTAACTGTTTGTTTGACGCAGGAATCATCCATGCCTTAATCTTATGGATAGAATTCCAAATTATTTCCATATAAATACCAAATACAATATATCAAAAGAATCGTCACAACAGGATGTTGTCGATGCAGTACCTGCTTGGGTGTTATCGCAGGAATCATCCATGCCTTAATCTTATGGATAGAATTCCCCCACCCAGGCACGTACATGATCTAGAGAGAGAGGTCCAATGGTATAAAAGAGAACCCCTATATCGTGAGGCTTATCGAGCAGGAATTACGAGCATTCACACGGAAGCAGTTACCCAGGCAATGGACCAATATCGTGTGAATGTAGTACTTGGAGTCCACCCACCACCTATAGCAGCAGAATAACGACAGCTGCTAAGACAAACGAGAGTGGTTTCAAAGACATAAAAGTATAAAGATAGGACAATTGATACCTAAGCAATTTCCAACAGATGGCTTTTCCTCTGTTGTTACGATATCATAACAACAGAGAGAACAATATTAAACGTTTTTAATGATATATCTTAAGCTTATAAAATGAAAATACATATTTTGAGTGCAGGCCTCTAATTTTGTTTACATTTTATTCACACATTTTCGCGTATTGGCGTTTTTATTCTTAACATGCCTCTGTTAACCTTGATTTCACCTGGATATTTTTTCATAAACTATTTTGCCAAAATGCATTTTGTCGAGTCTTTACGGTTTCTATGTCTTTGGTGGTTTTAGCCCAACTAAGATCAGGATGGTGCAGCCGCCTCAATTTGTATTGGGCCCAAATTGACAGCGCGGTACCAAACACATGCTCTGCATGTGGTTTTGGACCTCACGATACGCTGCATCTCTTTAACTGTCCTGCTAAACCCACTCATCTGTCTCCAGAATCTCTTTGCACGCAGCCGTTACAGATTGCAACCTTCCTGAACCTGGAAACAGAGGAGTCAGAACCAGATTAATTTAATACAACAAACATGTAGTTAGTTGCTACAACAACAACAAAGAAGTGTTGAGAACGCTACTATTTTCCCAAAAAAAAAAATAAAATATCAAAACTATTATCCTACTTCGCTCTACTTTACCTCCATTCGCGCTCATTTTTCCTCTCTCTCTCTCTCTTTTGGCAAAAGCAAATGTATCCCTTCGTAATGAAATTCACCACAACCATTCGTTGTTCGGTTGTGTTTTTAAGAACTCCCTTCACTGGGAATTGCCTCTCTTGCTAACAAACTACGTCTCTCCACTCACTCGATTGAGGTTACCTCGTATTCCATTGTTTTTTTATTATTTAAGACACTGCTTTATTTGACGCTGTAGAATTCGCATATGCATTTTCCAAATTATTTCCATATAAATGCAAAATATATGAATAAACAAAATAATAAGAAAAAACGACGCAACAAAGAAGATGAATAACATCTCTCTCTCTCTCTCTGATAAGAAACTAGTAATTAATATTCTATGAATTATATTCATAAAATGCAGAATTCCAGACATTGGCAGCACTTTCTGAACTCTATACATATAATATACGAATTATTTTTTTTCTGTGCGTCAGTATCACGTGAAATTTCTTGGGAGATAGAAAGAAAAAAAATTTCATATTTTCTAAGTGTGAAAATATGGAAATTTTCTAAAGAGTTAGTTTTCACATGATTAAAAAAAAAACAAAGACAAAAACAATGATGACGATAGCGATGAGCAATGATGCCACATGACAAAACAATTTCAATATCCAAGTGGCAGTCAAACAATCAGTCACTCATTGAGGACAACATTTTGATTAAAGGAGGTCAAATTCATATAGATTTCAATTATTTTGTTTTTTTAGGAATTATTTTTATTATTGTTAATAAAGTTGTTTTTTTTTTTTTTTTTGGTTTCTTATAAAGAAGTAGTCAATTTTATGCTTGTCTAAATACAAATCAATTAGTCACTAGGCAAACGCACACACACACACCAACACATACATACATGCACCCAACTTGATAAAACTTATAAACAGTTCCACTTATGGTTTCGCCTCTACCATCGTCATCATCGTCGTCATACTTCATTGATTGCCGATCAACGTTGTTATAATTCTGATTCTTGTTCTTCTTCCTTTCGTTTTCATTGCAGAGTGTTATCAAAATATGCTTCCATGAGCGTCGTCTACAATATATGGAACGTGAACAAATGCAACAATGGCAGGCCTCACGTCCCGGCGAGCGTATCATCGAAGTTGACTTGCCACTCTCCTATGGCCTGTGCCATGTCTCCCAGCCATTGAATCCGAACTATTTGAATACGGTCGAGATCTTTTGGGATCCCATGAAAGAGGTCGGCGTTTACATCAAGGTCAACTGTATATCGACCGAGTTTACGCCAAAGAAACACGGTGGCGAAAAAGGCGTACCATTTCGTTTACAAATCGAGACATATATCGAGAATAGTAATACAACAACAACAACAGCAGCAACTTTAACACCAACACCATTCCACAATATCGGCAGCAACCAGAATTTGCCAGGTTCGGGAACAAAAACACCACCAATTGGTAGTGTTGCTGCCCCACCCTCACCATTGGGTGCAGCAGCAGCTATAACGGCGGGACTTGTTGCTGGAGCCGGGGCCGGAGCATCGCCCCGCAGCCAGGCTGGAAATTTGACACCGAATGGCCTGTTGTTGAATGGCGGCAAACCGATGCCAATCCATGCAGCAGCTTGTCAAGTTAAGGTGAGTTTTGAGTATTTAATGAGAATTAAGAAAATAAAAAAAAAAAAATAAATAAACACAAAAAATTAACGAAAAATTTTAATTTTTAAATAAAAAAACAAAATTTCAAAATAAAAAAATTTAACGACATAAAAAATAATTTTTTGAATTTTTTAACGAAAATAAAAATTTTGAAAATTTGACGAAATGTTAAACTTAGATTTTTTCTAATAAAACTTTTATTTGAAATTTTTAACGAATGTAAGATTTTTTAAGAAAGTGAAATTCGGAATTTTACCTTAAAACTTTTAATGATGCATTTTTAACGAAACTTAAAATGTGGATTTTTAAATGACATGAAATTTTGTAAATTTGACACGAAAACCTGAAATTAAAAGTCAAAAAAAAAAAAAAAAAGTCAAAATTTAAATTTTTAACGAAATTTAAAATCTTGAATTTTTAACTAAAAATTTAAAACTTTAAATTTTAACCGAACTTTCAAAAATTCTAATATTGAAATTTTAACGAAAATTAACAAAAGTTACAATTTGGATTTTTTAATTGACATGAAATTTGGAATTTGTACGAAATTAAAATTGTGAATTTTTAACGAATGTTAATTTTTTTAAATGTAAAGAAAGTTTAAAAAATTTAACGAAATATAAAATTTTGATTTTTTTAACGAAAGCCTGAAATTAAATTTTTTAACGAAAAGACAAAAATTTAAATTTTTAACGAAATTTAAAATATTGAATTTTTAAATAAAAATGTAAAACTTTGAATTTTTAACGAACTTTCGAAAATTCTAATATTAAATTTTTAACGAAAATCCAAAGTTTAAATTTTTAAATCCAAAATTTAAATTAAAAATTTTTAAACGAACGTAAAAATTTTAATTTTTTAACTAAATTCAAATTTAAAATTCAAATATTGAATTTTTAACGAAAATTCAAATATTGAATATTTCACGAAAATTCAAATATTGAATTTTTAACGAAAATTCAAATATTGAATTTTTAACGAAAATTCAAATATTGAATTTTTAACGAAAATTCAAATATTGAATTTTTAACGAAAATTCATATATTGAATTTTTAACGAAAATTCAAATATTGAATTTTTTACGAAAATTCAAATATTGAATTTTTTACGAAAAATTCAAATATTGAATTTTTAACGAAAATTCAAATATTGACTTTTTAACGAAAATTCAAATATTGAATTTTTAACAAAAATTTAAATATTGAAATTTTAATGAAAATTCAAATATTGAATTTTTAACGAAAATTCAAATATTGAATTTTTAACGAAAATGCAAATATTGAATTTTTAACGAAAATTCAAATATTGAATTTTTAACGAAAATTCAAATATTGAATTTTTGACGAAAATTGCACTTTCGAATTTTTAACAAAAGTTCAAATCTTAAAATTTTAACGAAGGTTAAATTTTTTAATTCTTGAACTAAACTTCTTTTAACGAAAGTATATTTTTTTTTAATTCTTGAACTAACATTAAATTTTTCGACGAAAACTAAATATTTAAATTTTTAAGGAAAATCAAATCTAAAAATTTTTACGAAAATTCAAATTTCTATCCTTAAAAATTTTAATTTCCGTTAAAATTAAAAATTCATTTAAAAAATTAAAATTTTGAATTTTCCTCAAAAAATTATAATTTTATTTTTTGTTAAAATTCAAATTTTATTTTGTTTTATGAAAATTCAGACGTGAATTTTTAATGAAAATTTAAATATTTAACAAAAACTAAAATTATAATTTTTTGAGGAAAATTCAAAATTTTAATTTTTTAAATGAATTTTTAATTTTAACAGGAATTAAAATTAAAAATATTTAAATATAAAAATAAAAAATAATTTTTTAACTAATGTTCAAACTTTTAACGAAAATTAAATTTTGAAATTTTTAACGAAAATTAAAATCTTAAAAAATCTTTAACGAAATTTTTTCAATTTATTTAACTAAAGTTTAACTTTTTAACGGAAGTTAATTTTTTTTATTTTTAACGAAAATTCAAATTTATCGAAAATGTTTTAACGAAAGTTCAAATTTTTAAATTTTTAACGAAAATACAAATTTTAAATTTTTAACGAAATTGAAATTTTTTTAACTAAAATTAAAATTTATGTTAACTTTTGTTAAAAATTCAAAATTTTAATTTTTATACCCTACACAACTATGTTGTCAGGGTATTATAGCTTTGTGCAGCCCCAAAAGTTTGTAACGCCGCGAAATATTGGTCCTAGACCCACCTTTAAGTATACCAATCGTCATATCTCGACTAGCTGAGTCGATCTAGACATGTGTGTCCGTCCGTCCGTCTGTCCATTATAATTTGTAAACACGATACAGGCCACAGTTATGGACCAATCTTCACGAATTTTTGCATGTAAGATGGGTTCTGGCCAATGAAGACCCCTATTGTTTTTGATAAAGATCGGTTAATATTAAGGGGATGAAATGGACCAAATACTAAATTTTTCTGGTTGCTCCAGAGGCCGCAGTTATGGTCCGAACATCGTGAAATTTTACATGGTGAAGGGGATCGGGGCTAAGAATAAGCATGCCTGTTTTGATAAAGATCGGTCAATATTTAGCGGGTCAAATTGACCCTGACTTTTGTGTGAAAAATTACAAAATTTTTATTCTGGGACGTATATACTTGCTCCTGAAAGACATATACTCGAGATGTTGATAGTATGTCCAATATGAGTTGTTGACCTTCAAATTGATACCAATTATATGGCTGTATGTACTCCGACGCGGGAGTTATACGTAATTAAGTAAAGGTGACTATGTGCATATTATTACTATTACTCCATTAGAGGACGGAAATGTCGCTCTGATCGCTTTGAAATTGTACATGAAGTTCCGATTATTGTCAAGGACGACGCCTATAGTTTTCGGTGAAGTTTAGATTTCATTCAGGGGGTGCAATGAACCGAAAACTTTAATTTTGTCAGATTTTATAGTCGCTTTAGAGGCAATTATTATATACAGAACATCATATATTTTACAAGGTGAAGAGGATCTGACCAAATACTTAGAGCGGCTGTTTAGATGATGATCGGTCAATTTTCCGAGGGTCAAATTAACCAAAACCTAAAGTGACCAATTTTTTATTGTATGGCGTAAAAATTCTCTTCAAGAAAAAAACATTTTGGAAAATATGCAAGACTTAGAAATAGGAGTTGTTGATCTATAATCTGTAAAAAGGTTGCAAATATCACGAAATATTGCCCAGGCTCAGAATATAGAACCGCCGAAAGTGTGATTTTCGTGGTAGTTGTGTAGGGTATCATATGGTCGTCCCCGTCCGACTATACTGCTCCGCTCACTGGTTTTTTTAAATTTAAATTTTAACTTTCGTTAAAAAAATTAAATTTCCTTTAAAAAATTTCAAATGTAATTTAAATTTCAACTTTCGTAAAATTTTTTGAATTTTTGAATGAATTTTTAATTTTAACGGAAATTAAAATTGTTAAGGAAAGATAATTTTTTAACTAAATTTCAAATTTTTATCGAAAATTCAACTTTGAAATTTTTAACAAAAATTAAAATCTTAAATTTTAAACGAAATTTTAACTTTCGTTAAAAAAATTAAATTTCCTATAAAAAAATTTCAAATGTAATTTCAATTTTAACTTTCGTTAAAATTTTTCAACAATAGTTGAAATTATTAACTTTCGTTAAAATATGTCAACGATAGTTAAAATTGTAACTTTCGTCAAAGAAGTTTCACAGTATTTTAATTTTTTTTTTAATTTCGTTAAAAAATCAACGATAGTTAATTTTTTTCTTTCATTAAAAATTTAAATTAGGGTTAAATTTTTAACTTTCGTTTAAAAATTTTTCAACTATGGTAGAAATTTTGAACTTCCGTTAATATTAACAAAAGTTGAAAATTTCACTTCGGTTAAAAAATTAAACGATAGTTCAAAATTTTAAATTTCGTCAAACAAATTCTACTGCAGTTCAAATTTTTAACTTTCGTAAAAATTTTTTAACTTTCGTAAAAATTTTCTAACTTTCGTTCAAAATTTTTTACCACACATTTTAACGTCGTTAAAAAATTTCAACTTTCGTTAAGTTTTTTTTTCAATATTAAATGGCTTATTTATCTCTTAACTCCCTTCTCTTTCTTTGCTCTCTTCCCCATTTCTTTAGGTTTTCAAATTAAAAGGTGCCGATCGCAAACACAAACAGGATCGTGAAAAAATCCAAAAACGTCCCCAGTCCGAACAGGATAAATTCCAGCCAAGTTACGAGTGTACCATTATGACGGATATACCATTGGATTTGATTACAACACCAACAACCACCAGTGGCGCTGGTTGTTTCAGTCCCGAATAGTAAGTCCCCGTTTTTGTTTTTTTTTTAATTTTTAAATTTTATAATCAAGAATGAATTAAATATCACAACTATTTTTCGTGATCAGACATGATGTTGCAGTGCATTTTTTAATTAATTAAAATGATTCATTAATTAAGACAAGAAAACAAAAAAAATATTAGGAATACTGAGATGATGAATTCACATTAAGAAAATACAATTGCGGCTTGAATCACCTCCAGAGGAAGATGAAGTTTCGGAGATGGGGTTTGAGGGAGGAAATTCTGAAATGGAATATTGTGAAACTACAAAACCCGCTCATTTCTCTATCGAAGCTATTAGAATGTTTTTTTTTTTTGCGAGCAATCTCACATGTGTTAATAAATTATACAAACATGTGGTGTGGTGTGGATGAAAGTGTAGGCGTGAGGTCCGCGGGTTGTAATCAAGTGGAAAAATGCTTGAATACGTAAGACCCGCTAGTGGCGTCATAATTTTATTATTATCGCCATTTATCAATTTTATTATTTTTGTTTTCGTTATTTAGAGACGCAACACTTGAAAAGTAATTAGAAATTAAGTCCGATTTTTTATAGGCATTATCATAGTTTATTATGATAATTTGCATTGTCTTGAGGTGGGAAATAACTTCACATAAGCCTGGATTTTTAAATGGTATTTAGACATTTTTTAAAAGGGTCAGAGAATTTTAAACATGAACCTGGCCTAAATTTTTTAGCGATTTTAATTTTTTTATAAAAGTTTTTATAGGAAGTCCTGGATTTAAAAAAAAATGGTTTGAATTTTTACAGAACAAATTAGACGTTGGCCCAAGCCGTCATATTTAAATAGCCCATCATTAATAACTAAGATCTCGGATTTTTAGAAGTACCCTGAGTCTTTTTATTTTGATTTTTAATGGACACAGGCTTGTATTTTTGAAGGAGTCCATATCTGCCCTATTCCGAGCCTAGATTTTGCAAAAAGTACAAAAATTTGGATTTACAAACGGACATACCCTGTATTTTTGTTAAAATGTTCAAAAATGACACATGTCAGAATTTAAATTGAATTTCAAAAATGCCCCAGGCCTGATAGGGATTGATTTTTTCTAAGACATAATCCTTAATTATTGAGTGAATTCAGCACTGAATGAATTAGGCTCTGGAATGAATTAGGATTTTGGCTTTGCTCGAAAATCGCCTATTTTTTGATAAAAACCAATCTGGAAAATAAGGAAGATCTTTAACGATTACATTTATCCTAGTTCATACGATAGCTGTGTAGGTCCAGAATAAAAAAGTCTAAAAATCGACTTTTGTCAAAAATCGAAAAAACCGCTCGTGTATTGCTGACACAATAAATCGACTATATTTTAAGAGTTGTTGAGATTTGGACTTGGAATTTTATGGAGATATTCTTGAGAAATTATAAGTTCAAATTAAATAATAAAAATAGATTTTTTGAAACCGAGAATAGGGGGTTCCTCTAAACAAAGACAATCTGAATTTTTAAAAAGATCCCGTATTTTAGGACTCAGATTTTGTTAGGTCATTGTTTTGGATTGCAATAATAATTGTTTAAAGATTTTTAAAATTGAATGGATCTCTATTGGTATTTTAATTCTATGTATTTGTAATTAAGGGAACCCCACCCATTCTCGATTTTAATTTTTCATGATTTTCAATGGGCTGGTAAATCAATACCAATGCTTGTTAAGGTTTGTAACTTCACACATATATAATTGAAGATTTAAAATAGAAGAAAAATAATTTACAAAAAATTGTTGTTGTTGTTTTTTGTAATTAAAGAAAAGTCCTTATTTTTGATGGCGGGCATGATAACTCCTCACTGGAACATCGGAATCCAAAAATTCCAACGGTGTTAGAAAGAGTACATGTCTGGCTCTCGTATGAACTGGGATTATTGACTTCGCTCTAAAATTAACAAAATGGTGGACCATTGAAAAAATATTTTTGGAAAATCACCGATTTTTTACCAAAACCCAAGTTAAAAAATAAGGAAGATCTTCACCGATTGGCTTTATCCTAGTTCATACGAGAGCTATACACTCCCAGAGAAACGTTGCAAAATTTGGAATCGATTGGGTTATTAGTCTTTGAGTTATCGTACCCGCCATTCGCAAAAAAATGTTTAGAGTAAAACGCTTTTAAAGTTTGAGAAGCCCTTCAGCCGTCACTTGATGCTGACATAATAAATCGGCTATATATTCAAGAGTTCTTGAGATTTTCATTTGAAAATGTGTAGGGACATTCTTTAATTAGTGTAGATTCGAATTATATCAACAACATTTTTGACCCCGAGAATTGGGGGGGGGGTCCCCTTAAATGAAATATAAGATGTTGTTTCTATATTTAGAGGCGGGCAGACTATGACATAGACTACTAGATTTTAAAAATAACAGAAAATATATACTGATCCTGAATGTCCTGGAGTGGACATATGCATGTATTTAGAAAAAAAGCTCCTTTACTTGGATGTTTGAAAAGATGCAGGCTCGGATTTTTTAAAGATCTGGATGTCAATTATGTGCTTTTTTATACCCTTCACCACACTGTGGTACAGGGTATTATGTCTTTGTGCATATGTTTGTAACAGGCAAAAATAATCGAGATAGACCCATGGTTCCTTTTGAGAATATGCATAGAATCACTTTCTGAGTCGATTTATGCATGTCCGTCTGTCCGTCAGTCCGTCCATGTATTTTTGTTAACAAAGTACAGATCGCATTTATGATCCGATTTGTATGAAATTTGGCATAGTTTCGTCCGATTTCATGTAACTAGTGCACCAAATTCCCAATAGTGGTCCGACTAAAGCAATATTTTGCACAGAGTACTGAATTAGGTCCCGACTGATGTATGAGAAATTTTGTTGGAATCGGTTCAGATTTATATCTAAATATGCTATTTATAGTTTCGTCCGATTTTATGTAAATGGAGCAACATACTGCCAATATTTATCCGATTGAGACAAAATTTTGCACCGCGTACTAAATTAGGTCATTGATGAATGCGAAGTTTTGTTGAAATCGGTTCAGATTTAGATATAGCTCCCATATATAGTTTCGTCCGATTTAAGGTAAATTGCGCACCAAAATCCCAATATTGGTCCGATTGAAGCAAAATTTTACACAGAGTACTGAATTAGGTCCCGACTGATGTATGCGAAATGTCTATATCTACAGGATATTGTAGATATTAACATGTCTTGCATGTACCCATAGTGGTGAAGGGTATCATATAGTCGGCCCCGTCCGACTTTTGAACTTTCCTTACTGGTTTTGTTATAACTTATTTATTGCCTCCACCATAAGTTGGAGTGCAATCAATATGGATCCACTTTTTTAGGAACTCTCCATTATTCGATATTTTGAAGCTTTTAGGGCACGAATGTTTTAAGCTAATCAGTTTGGTACGATGGGCCCCCTATAATGCCAAGGGCTATTATTTTGTATTTTGGCAAATCCTCTATACCAAAAATTCTCCAAAAGAAATTTTCCCACACCCCAGGCCATGAGCTAGATTTTCTCATATACTAAATTGCGCAGCATATTTGTCGTAGTCATGGCGCAATTAATCTACATTCCATTGCAAATAGCAAATCATTTTCATGTTTTTTTTTTTTAATTAATCCGGTTTTCACAAAAAACAATACTGTTTACCTTAGAAGAGAAGAGGCGTTTCACAATGTAAATTGTTTGATATTAAATTATAATAACAATAGGTCAACACGTGTTACGGACATACACCGCGCAAAAAAAGGTCTGGAGAGAAAGGCAGGGTTCAAAATAAATTATTGAATCACTTTTTACACTACATACATGACCTTCACGCAAATTGTTTCGAGCATCGATTCTTTTGAGGAAATTTTCGACCACTTTTTGACACAGACCAAGAAATTTTCGCTCGATTTGTGTGACATGTGGCACCGTCTTGTTGAAACCACAAATCGTATTATTTAATATTAGGCAGAAAAAAGTGGAATATAATATGATCAGTTCGCTGCGAATTAACAGTCGTTTGGTAGACCAGAACCGCTTTAAAGCAAATCCAAGTCATTGTAAAGTCAATACGGTACGCTATGCCAAATATCATCGCAATCGAACAAACCTTGGAAGTTTGATGCATCATTTAGATGATGCATTTAGATGAAGAGAGAGAGGGAGAGAGAGACAAATATTAATGAATATTTTCACAATTTCGTTCATAGTTAATTGTTTTCCATATTGTACATCTACCTCACTTTGAACTATTTTTTTTCAAAAAATTTTAACTTTTCATTAATATTACATCTATTTTCCTACTGCGTTCTACTTTACCACTATTTGCGTTCATTTTCCTCACTCTATTTTTTTTTTTTTTTTTGACAAAAACGAATGTATTCCTCCCAAGGAAAAAAACACCACCACCATTCATTCTTCGGCCGCGTTTTGTTTTGGTATCGCTCTCCGTCACTCGCCTTGTTTTTGGAACCGTTTATTTAACTACAGTTTCTACTCCATTCTCTCCACCACTTCTGCATTGGTGTTACAAAATTCGCATATGTATTTTCCAAATTATTTCGATATAAATACTAAATACAATATACGAATAACAAGCCCAACCAAACGCACACACTCCAAAGTTTTTTTTTACTCTTTCTCTCTCTCTCTCTCTCTCTCTCTCTGACAAGACACCAGTATTTAAAGTTTTAGGAAATGTATTCATAAAATACATAAATCCCAACACATTCTGAACCCTATTCGCATAATGTACGAATTATTTTTTTCTGTGTAGGCTCACTTAAGTACGTTATGCCAAAATTTCGTCTCAATCTTACAAACCTTGGATGTTTGCTGTATTATTTGTGGAATCGAAGGAATATATATTATAGCTATACATAAATATGACCCGATTTTCGCCAATAGTGTTCGTCCTTGGGCCACAGAAGAATAAATGCGACCTGTATTTGATTCACAATAGCTAAGTACGGACGCGTTTAAACGCCGTCATGTGCTCCCAGTCCGAAGTTTTATAATCTTCCACTCTTTGGATTTAAATCTGAAATATTAATTTCAATACGTGAAAATGTCGCTATGTTCTTCCTGTGTGAAATTTTAAAATCGTCCACTCTTAGGCTGAATTTTTAAATACCTATATTCGGTCGGTACCCTTATTTGGGGGATATGTCAAAATATGTTCATCTACATTATAAATTATATAGCAAGATGTCTTTTTCTTCTTCTGAAAACCATAATACCAAATTACAGTCACTTCGGTTGGGAAATGCGGCTAAAATCTTCCATACATAAAAATGTAGCGGCAAAGTTATGTGAGAGGACTGTGCTTAATTTTTACCTACTTTATTCCAAATTTTCCAATTGAAGTTGCATCGTTTGAAATGTGCGTACCGGGCTATAACAAAGCCTGGACCTATATTAGAAATATTGTTCGAAGTCGTTTTTTTTGGCGCCAACAACGAAGAATTGAATAAATTACCTGTTATCCAAAGAAAAACCATTTGTGGCATTTGAGTGTACATAAAGGATCAATAAAAAACTTTTATTGTAGTCGGAAGAATCATACTAGATTTTAAGGGGACTTCAAAAGTCCACGAAACTTATGTCACTTTTTACTATAGTTGAAGGACCATTTAATGATATTTACTTTCAAATTATCATTTGCAGCCTTTTAGCAAAATCTAAAGACTTTTTGATACTTTAGCTGACCAATTGAAGGCTGTGAATGTAGCCGTAATACCATTTTAGTCTTTATGTAAATTATAATAGAAACCAGTGAGCGGAGCAGTATTGTCGGACGGGGCCGACCATATGATACCCTACACAACTTACACAAACATCTAACTTTCTGTGGTAATACATTCTGATCTTGGGCAATATTTCTCGATATTTGCACCCTCTTGACCGACTAGAGATGAACAAATACTACTAATATTCAGTACAACCCTTCTAATTACTTGTCCAGATTCCTTTCACCGTGGTTTGTGTTGTGCTGTTTGGTTTATAGATCGACTCGAAAAAAAAACACACACACACAAAATTAAGTTTTCTGTCCACTTCATCCCAAAAGTATTATCTGATCATCACCGAAAATTATAGGCGTTGTCCTTGGCCATACCTGGATGCTCATGGAAAATTTCAAAGCGATCAGCGCTATATTTCCGCCCTCTAGTGTGGTAATGGGTTACTAAATAATATATGAATACGTAAGCACCTGTAAATATTTGAGCGTAACTCCCACATCCGAGTACATACGACAATATAATTGGTGTCAATTTAAAGGTCAACAATTCCTCTTCTCCATCAACTTCTCGGGCCTATGTCCTTCACGCGTAAATATATTCGCCATAGAATACAAATATTGTAATTTTTCACACAAAAGTCAGGGTCCATTTGACCCGCTAAATACTGACCGATCTTTATCAAAACAGGCAGGCTTATTCTTTGGCCCGATACCCTACTCCATGTAAAAAATCGCGATATTTGGGCCAAAATTACGGCCTCTGGTGCGACCAGAAAAGCCGACAAAAATTAAGTATTTGGTCCATTTCACCCCCTTAATATTAACCGATATTTTCCAAAAACAATAGGGGTCTTCATTGGCCAGAACCCATGCTGCATGCCGATTGGTCCATAACTGTGGCTTGTATCGTGTTTACAAATTATAATGGACGGACGAACGGACACACATGTCTAGATAGATTCAGCTAGTAGTCTTGGGCCATCTCGTTCAGTTCAGAGATCGAAGAAACTACATCATTTTTTTAAAGTGAACTAGGTCGTTCACCTCGTTCAGTTGCTTATATCGTTCAATTGGATACTCAGTTCAATTGGCATGGCAGCGTATTCCAATAAAGTTCTGGCAGTTCAGCCAACCGTAAAGAATGATTACCTTTCACAATCATTCGAAGGAATTTCCTATATATTTTCTCCACTTTGTTCAGGGGTGGTGGTCAATGGCATAACTCCTTAAATATTCGGCAACACTCTTGTTTGCGCTGCAGTTTTTGCTCTTGTCCCCCTTTGCATATTTTCCGTAGTTTCCAGCTCCACGGTTATCTATGGGGGTGCTTTGCTTTTAAATGTCGCATCATATTATTTACTGACCCTCCAGCTGTACGTAAAACACTTCTGAAGCATTTGATATTTTAAGCACCGCATATTACACGAATCTCATTCAAAATAACAGATTTTATATGAAATTGTTCCTATTTGACTATTTTAGTCAGTCGATACACCTGTGAACAACAGTGAAGGTGTAGAAGAAAATACTATGTCGTTCAGTGACCGACGGCATTTCTTGAGCAATGTCGTTCAGAGACCGAATGAGTTTGGTATCGTCCGTTGAACGACAATAATAAAAACTGAACTATGTCGTTCACTCGTTCAGTGGACTGACTCGTTCAATTGAACTAGGTCGTTCACGAACGACACAAGACTATCAGCTAGTCGAGATATGACGATCGGTATACTTGAAGGTGGGTCCAGGACCAATATTTGGACAAAGCTATAATACCCTGACATCATAGTTGTGTAGATTATAAAAATGTAACTGAAACTCTGTAAATAATTTTAGAATGTTATCGATCTTTTTAAGAATATTATCGATAGCGATAAACATATTTTTAACCCAGAAAAGGTTATAAAAGACCAAAGAAAATACTAGAAGTCCCTTATTCCCCAATCTCCATTAATAACGTGTGTATTTCAAAAGAACCAAATCCTCGTTATTATTTATGAATCCAACATAGCCTGTTTCATTAACGCCCTACCATAGGCCTGTCTCATTGGCGCCCTACGTGGAGCCCGTTTAATTAACAATCAACGAGGAGCCTGTTACATGGCGCCCTATGAAAGGCCAGTTTAATTGGCGCCCAACGTTGGGCCCGTTTCATTAACCCCCTACTATAGGCCTGTTTCATTGACATTGACCTATCATAGGTCTGTCTCATTGGCGCCCTACGTGGAGCCCGTTTAATTAACGATCAACGAGGAGCCTGTTACATGGCGCCCAACGTTGGACCCGTTTCATTAACGCCCTACGAAAGGCCAGTTTAATTGGCGCCCAACGTGGCCCCGTTTCATTAACCCCCTACTATAGGCATGTTTCATTGACATTGACCGACATATCCCATTTTTAATTCCCAACAACCTTGGATTATTAGCTATATGCAAAATTTCAAAGCTCCAATATAAACATTGCGACAACCTAATGTGATTTCAGCAGACAGATGAAATATAGACAGATACTATGTAGGGTCTCCGACGAATATTTCGAGGTGTAGAATACGCCATATTTCATAAAGTTGCCATATTGTATGTAGACTAATTGGAAAGTTATGTTTAAGTTTTTATAGAAGTCCTCCCTTCTTTCGTCAGAATACCTGTTCCCCACCTCCATCTCTTTTCTCTCAGTGTAATAGTTTGCCACCGGTTTTAAGTCAACAATTGATTTAAATTTTACTTTAGAACAGCTTACAGATGTTTTAACGTGGCTTGTTGACAACAACTTTTGTTGTTGGTGTGTTCTTGTTTACAACAATTGCTATTAACCGGTTTAGGTTTTATAACATAGTGGCAAGCTTCGCTGTCGCAGCTCAGCAGCAGCTGCTGTAGCTGCCAAAGTCGTAATCCAAAGAGAGAGCAAATGACTACAAGCTGAGCAGCGAAAAGTGGAGACATAATAATGGACACATAATGTTGTTGTAATTCTGTTCTATTGTTGTTGTTGTTGCTGTTGAGGATGAGGCATACAAACGACGACGACGCCGACACTGAACGATAAAATATTTCATTTAATTTTTAGTAAACAACATAATGACTGCTGCTGCTGACTGACACCATGTTCTCCAGGCATTCAACAAAAGGTGTTTTATTCTGATTCTTCTTCTTCTTTTTTATATTTGATTATTTTTAATTAAAATTAAAACGGAAATCAAATAACAATTGTGTAAAATTTACGCACCTAAATTATTTTGATTATTTTGTTTATTTGTATTTTTTTATTAATAATCATTTTGTTTTGTTGATATTTTTGTTTTCCAGCATGAAAATTTGGCCAAATTCGCCAGTTCACATTCCAAAATATGATGGCATGTTACCCTATGCTAGTGCTTCGCCCAATGCCAGTGCTAGTCCCATAGCCATTAATAGTGTCTCCTCGACGAATTCGCCCAATTTGAAAATAATGGACACAAATATGGTGGTGGCACCACCACCATCGGTAATGGCCACCGATATTGATGAATATGTAAGTAGAGGATTTCGTGAGAGTTTTGAGAGGAAATTTATATAATAATTTGTTGTTTTTGTATTTTTTGTTTTTTTTTTTGTTTTTAGAATTCCATTACCATAATGCCAGAATCTACACCAGTACAGGTTACCCAGTGGTTGACCTATCATCGTTTGACGGCATATTTGTCAACATTTGCACAGTTCTCGGGAGCTGATATTATGAGGTGAGTGTCCAAGCATCCACGTGCCCAAACCTACTTTTAGCCATTGAAAAATAATTTTCAATAAATTCAAGCCTTTTTTAAGTCATTGAAAAATAATTTTCAATAAATTCAAGCCTTTTTTAAGTCATTGAAAAATTATTTTTAATAAATACACGCCTTGTGATAGCCCTTTAAAAATATTTTTTTTTAAAACCACGCCTTGTGATAGTCCTTAAAAATATTTTTTTGTATTTAAATCCACGCCTTGTGATAGTCCTTAAAAATATATTTAATAAATCCACGCCTTGTGATAGTCCTTAAAAATATGTTTAATAAATCCACGCCTTGTGATAGTCCTTAAAAATATGTTTAATAAATCCACGCCTTGTGATAGTCCTTAAAAATATGTTTAATAAATCCACGCCTTGTGATAGTCCTTAAAAATATGTTTAATAAATCCACGCCTTGTGATAGTCCTTAAAAATATGTTTAATAAATCCACGCCTTGTGATAGTCCTTAAAAATATTTTTAATAAATCCACGCCTTGTGATAGTCCTTAAAAATATTTTTTATAAATCCACGCCTTGTGATAGTCCTTAAAAATATTTTTTATAAATCCACGCCTTGTGATAGTCCTTAAAAATATTTTTAATAAATCCACGCCTTGTGATAGTCCTTAAAAATATTTTTAATAAATCCACGCCTTGTGATAGTCCTTAAAAATATTTTTAATAAATCCACGCCTTGTGATAGTCCTTAAAAATATTTTTAATAAATCCACGCCTTGTGATAGTCCTTAAAAATATTTTTAATAAATCCACGCCTTGTGATAGTCCTTAAAAATATTTTTAATAAATCCACGCCTTGTGATAGTCCTTAAAAATATTTTTAATAAATCCACGCCTTGTGATAGTCCTTAAAAATATTTTTTTTTTTAAATCCAAGCCTTGTGATAGTCCTTAAAAATATTTTTTTAAATCCACGCCTTGTGATAGTCCTTAAAAATATTTTTTTAAATCCACGCCTTTTTTTGGTCTTTGAAAAATATTTTTTTAAATCCACGCCTTGTAATAGTCCTTAAAAATATTTTTAATAAATCCACGCCTTGTGATAGTCCTTAAAAATATTTTTTTTTAATCCACACATTGTGATAGTCCTTAAAAATATTTTTTTTAAATCCGCGCCTTCTGATAGATCTTAAGGATATTTTTAAAAATCCACGCCTTGTGTTGGTCCTTCAAAAAATATTTTTTAAAAATCTACGCCTTGTGATAGTCCTTAAAAATATATATTTTTTAAACCCATCGATAAATCTAGAAAATTTTTTTGGTAGCCCTTGAAATATTCCGTTTTTAAAATCCTTCCTTACAAAATTTGTTTTAGAAAAATTCACCCATTCTGATCATTTTTAAAGAATCTTCTTATAAGGTTATTTATAAATATTTTTCTATTTCAATTTTTTTCAGAATGTCCAAAGAGGACTTAATCCAAATCTGCGGCTTGGCTGATGGTATACGCATGTTCAACATCTTGAGAGCAAAGTAAGTCTGAAATAAATTATATCCTTCATATAAATGTTTTGTAATAATTTCCATTCGCCAATCCTCTTTCAGGGCTATAACACCCCGTCTAACCCTCTACGTTAGCTTGGATGGCGCTAATTATAATGCCGTTTATCTCATATCCAATACCGCCAAGGAACTTGTACAAAAACTTTTCAAGTTACCTGGCTTCTATGAGTGTGTGGCCAAAGGCTCTTCGTCCAACTCGATGAATGGTAATGCTGGTTCGGGCATGGATACTAATACCTCACCCTATCATAGCTGGGGTATGCATTCGAAATATTCCGGCAGCGGTTCTAGCATTTATAATGATGTCAATACAAAATCATTGATTTATATTAGCGGTCCAGCCGGTATCCATGTGGCCATTACCGATGAGGTATTGGCCAATGAAATCAAAGATGGTAGCCTTTACGGTTTGGAAGTACAAAATGGAAAAGTTGTTATGAAATTAGTGAACAAAAATGAAAATTGAAAAAAAAACAGGCATGTTTAATGGATATATATTATAATTTTTTTTATATGCATATATTTTTTTAATAGAACTTAACACAAAAATATACACAAACATAAACAAGCAATATACCACATAGAAATAGACTTTTGAAAAGGAAAACAATGTAACGTAAGATATAATATTTTTAATATATGTAATTTTTATTCAAATTATTTTGTAAATATTTCAAAAACAATTTTTTTGGTTTAACTCAAAAGATCGTTCATTGTCAGATGGTTGGAAATAACTTGTAATAGGTGTAAACGTTTTTATTAACATTAGGTGTTGCCATCTGCCAGATAACCTCTTAAAATATTTTTTTGACAAAACGTTTGTTTCAAAAACATATTAAACATAGTTTTAGAAAATACCTTAAAATGTATCTTAAAATTAATTTAATTTCAGTTTAATTTTTGGAAATATCAATTATTTCTTAAAAACAAAAGTAACTCTAAATTTCAAATCATCAACATCATGACATGAATGAATGATCTAAAAAAATTAAATAATTTAATGTCAACTTTAAAACTTAAACAAATATTCAAAATACTTTTTTCTATACCAATTTTGATGTATGTAAATATAAAATACAAATTTGTACAAATACAATATTTTTTTTAAATCTAAAAAAAAATTATCATTAAAGGTGTGATATAGACAAAAGTGATAATCAAAAAATTCACGACTACTGATAGTCCTTGAAAAAAGAAAAAAATAAAAAAACCATAGTCCTTAAAAAATAATTTTTAAAATATCAATGCCTTCTGACCTTAAAAACTATTTTTAAAAAGAATCCACCCCTTCTGATAGTCCTCGAAAACTCGTCTTCTGATAGTCATTGATATTTTTTATATCTAAAAAATCTTGTCATTTTTATAGCCCTCGATTTTTTTTAAATCACATCATCATATATTCAAAAAATCCTCGCTTTCTAGGCCTTCTCATAGTCCTTGAATTTGTTTAATACACCTGTTATTCACTATTAAAAATAAAATTTAAAAGACCTAAACAATCTGATAGCCCTTGAAACTTATTTTCAAAAAATTCAAGCCTTCTAAGTGTTTTTGAAAATAATTCTTAAACATCTAAGCCTTCTGATAGTCCTTGACTTTGAAAACAAAAAACTCTGATAGTCCTTGACTGTGAAAACAAAAAACGCCTTCCAAGAGTCCATGAAAAATAATTCTTAAAAAAATCTAGGCCTTCAGATAGTCCTTGAACAATAATTCTTAAAAAAAATCTAGGCCTTCTCTGATAGTGCTCGAAAAATAATTCTTAAAATATCAACACCTTCTAAGAGTCCTTGAAAAACAATTCTTAAAAAAATCTAGGAACAAATCTTGAAAAATTATTCTTAAAAAATCTAGGCCTTCTGATAGTGCTCGAAAAATAATTCTTAAAATATCAACACCTTCTAAGAGTCCTTGAAAAACAATTCTTAAAAAAATCTAGGAACAAATCTTGAAAAACAATTCTTAAAAAATCTAGGCCTTCTGATAGTCCTTGAATTTTTTAACGCGCCTCTTATTCACTATTAAAAATAATTATTAAAAGACCTAAACCTTCTGCTAGTCCTAGAAAAATATTTTCAAATATCTAGGCCTTCTGATAGTCATTGAAAAAAAAAAATCTTAAAAAAACTACACCTTCTGATAGTCCTTGAAACAATTTTTAAAAATATGTTAATAAAAAATCACGCCTTCTGATAGTTCTTGAAAAATAATTCATAAACAATTTAGGTCTTCTGATAGTCCTTGAAAAATATTTTTTAAAAAAAATCACGCCTTCTGATAGTTCTTGAAAAATAATTCATAAAAAATTTAGGTCCTCTGATAGTCCTTGAAAAATAATTTTTAAAAAAATCCACGCCCACTAACAGTCCTTGAAAGAGAACTTTTAAGATATCTAGGCCTTCTAATAGTCCTTGAACAATTTTTTAACGCACAACTTGCAGTCATTGAAAAAATATGTTAATAAAAATCACGCCTTCTGATAGTTCTTGAAAAATAATTCATACAAAAATGTAGGTCTTCTGGTAGGCCTTGAAAAAAAAACTTTAAAGATATCTAGGCCTTCTAATAGTCCTTGAACAATTTTTTAACGCACAACTTGCAGTCATTGAAAAAAGCATCAAAGGATCAAAAGTCAGGACTAGTGAGTGAATACTAATTTTTTGTAGATCATCCTCATAACGGTAACGACCCATTATTTGGCATTTTGGTAACGTTTTTCAACCCATTTGGCATATTGGGTTCTCATTGGACCAATATCCTAATATAAGGGAGGACATGTTTATCAACCAAATTGTCTATAATTTTATATTTTGGGATTTTTGTTAGGTTCAAAATCGCCCTATTAAAAATTATTAATATTGATCCGAGATTCAGAGGAGAAACCCATATAATGGGTTCCATTCCATTATTCAGCATTTTCCCTCTATATTGAAATATTAGGTTCTCCTTAAATGCCTTCCTGTCAAAAATAATCATGTTTTGGTATAGCCCCCATATATAGTGGTACCCAACATTTTCGATATTTTGGCCATAAAAAAATGGTTACGCCCCCTTTTTTGGTATTTTGATTTTATCGTCCTGTAATTTGACATTCCAGGTCAATGGCATGTTTTGCCATAGCCATGGACTACCTTTTTCAGGTTGACAATAGTTGTTTGTTTTTCAGGGCTCTTGGTAATTAAAAACAATTTCAATGTAGATCAATATTTTAACATAGACCCCATGTAAGGGTCCTAAGCGATTTTAGGTATTTTCAGAATAAATATACAAATTTTCTTTACGACAGTTTTCTAAAGTTTAGCAATATATTTTTCAAGGACTGTAATTTAGTTTATATAAACACATTTTTTATGTATAAAATAATACTCTTTATTAAACAAATAATATTTTAATTTAATAAAAAAGCTATTGTTT